TTTTGTGTTTTATTATCATCATTATTTAATTTATATTTAACAACTTCAGACAGTTCTCTGATATTATTTTCAAGTATTCTAATTGCTATTGTGTTAGTGATATCTAAATTGATATATCTATAATTTTGAACAAATTCTAAAACAACAGCAGCGGGACCTTGTAAAAATCTATCTGTTCTTAATGACATGAATTGTAATTCTAGATTATATCTAGTAGCTTCTTTATTATTACTTAAATATTTTATTTGTCTTAGCAGTTCATCGATATTATTCACTGTTACAAACCAATAAAATCTAATATTAAACTGAACAAATTGATTTTTTGTTATGTTCGAGCTTCATATAATGTATTATTGTTTTTTAATTTTCCAGTTAAAACAGAATATTTGTTTATAATTACAACTTGAGTACTTGACAGTGTATATTTTATCAAAAACTACTTTAAAATCTTCTTTAACAGGACTATTTAAGATCTTTAAAAACAGTATCTGCTGGTAATCTTGAATTATTTTGTTTAATAGCTTAACTCACAGGTAGTTGACAACTTGTAAAATCGATTTGAATAACTATTCCTTTGATATTAAATAACTTTTTTAAAGAATTAATTGTAAAAGTATCCTCAACATCTGTAGCTTCTTGTGTTTGCACTAAAAGGAATTTAAATCTTAAAGTTCTATCAGTTGTATTAGTTGTATTTAGGTATCCATTTTTATTTCCAAAGATACTTACTCTGAAAATTTGATAAAAATCTAACATATATTTAGTTTTAGTGTTGTTATTAAATTGAATATCCTAAAATAATAATGTTGATGCATAATATCTTGAAGGATAATAAAGAAAAGCAGAATTTCTACTAGAACCTAAAGCAGGTATACTAATGTTTACTCAATTTTTTAATTTAGAATTAAAGAATTATATTTTGTTTCTTCTGTAGTATAAGTTTTAAGACTATATGTTTTTTCGAGTTCTGACAATTCTTCTAAAAGTAGTGGACAACTGGTACTTTGCGGTCTAGTTATTTTATTTTAATCTAACAGTGAAATAATTTTTATTTGAAGGTTCAAAGCAACAAATACAACTTGATTTACAAGGTTCTGGTTTTTTATATAGCAGCACCTACAACTATTATTACAATTACTTTTAATTGCAACGGTTGTATTAAATTTAGATATTATATCTTTTTTAATTGTTGTTTTTTTTGTAGTTTGTGGTTTTGTTTTTGTCATTCTTTTTTGTTTGATTTTTTTTTAAATCAGTTGTTTTTGTCAACATTTTCTTCTTTCGTTTCACTACTGTTCTTTTCTTTTTTAAAGCCACTTTTAATAATATTGATCAATGAAATTTATAGCTGAAAAAAAAACTTTTGTGATAATAGGGTTAAAAAAAATAAAATCAAAAATATCTTTAAAGAAATGAAAAGCGCCAAAAATTATTGAGAAAAAAATAAATGCGATTTCAATTAAAATTATAAGAAAAAGTAAATCATAGATACATGTTTTATCCATTTAGAGAGAAATTTTTCAAACACTATTTTATTTATATAAATATGGGTCAAAACCTATTTGAATCTTTTAAAAAATGCGATTTTATTTTTTTTTGATTTTATTGATATTTTTAATATTAGTAAATGAATTGTGAAAATATAAAAGAGTAGTAGTAACAAAATGAGGATGCAGATACAAATATTCAAATCAATTATAATTTTATTTATAGTATATTTGATATTTATTACAGTGATTCGTGTACTGCAAAAGGTAAAAAAAGATCTCGTACTAGTAGAAGAAAAAGAGCTAGTTCTAGTTGATCAAGATCAAGAACACCAAGACAAGCAAAATTACTTGCTTGAATAGTAGTGATTTCAGTATCAGCACCACCAAATACAGTAATTAATAAATTAGTAATTTGAAGAAGTGAAGCTTATCGTGATATACTGAATAGAAATAGACAAGTAATTAATCAATATAAAGGAGGTTTTTATGTTGAAAAAATTGATAGTATGACTGGTACTGTAATATATTCACCAGTTCATAAAATAAGAATACAATAAATTTTGAATCAAGAGAAATTAATTGTATTAAACAAATAATAAATAATAATAATGATCAATTTGAAAATATTAGACAAGTAAATTTTAAAATAATAGATAATTTTAATTTACTTAATAGTACAAAAACAACAATCAAAAGATAACAAGAAAGAATACTTCAATATTCAAAATAAGAAAATATAAAAAATTATTTGGAAGAAATAATATCAAATCTTAGTCTTCAGTATAATTCTAAAGGTGATAATATTAAAAATTTAAAAGTAATATTAACAAAAGCTAAAGCATTAAATGATAAATATTCATAAAATATATAAATACACAATAAGTGTATGTTTTAAAATTTAAAAATAAAAATGAGTACTACTAATTACAAATTTGGTGAACATATTCGTATTTAAAAAATTATCAATAATCTTTGTGCTTAAGGATTAATAACAAACAATGAACATGAAAAGAAAGTGAAACAAATATTTGATAATCTCGATATTAAAAAGAAAAAAACTACTGAAGGTACAGAAGAAAAATTAACAATTAATCAGATGTTGGATATTCTTGTCAAAATTATAGCAGATATTAAAACAATCAAATAATATATTGAATAATTTTATTTTTTTATTTGTATTAAATTAATTATTTTTTTATTACTATTATTATTTATTTTTATTATATTATATTATTTTTTTTTTATTTACTAAAATTATATAAATAAAGTATTTATTTCTTTTATTCATTAAATTAAAATAGAAACATATAAAAAATTTAAAGTTTTCAGTAATATATATATTGAATATAAAATTTGGTTTGACTCAAAAAGTAAAAATGTAAAAGAAATATAATTATTATCTTCTAAAGCTTCTAGAGTAGAACAATATGAGAATTTTGAATATTATAATTTTTTGGCAGAAAATTTAATCAATAATTTTAATAAACCTTTATTGGATTTAAAAGAATCAAAATTATTGGTGCAAACTGTATTAGAAAATTTGTACAAAATAAAAATAAACCAAATTTAGAAAATCTTTATGCTTTGAAAATTAATCTAGCATTTAAACTAGAAGCTACTTTACCAAATATGATTAATCATGGATTTAGAAAATTCAAAGTATGAATCAGTTAATATAGTAAAAAATAAAATTGTATTGTAGTATAGTATGAATTTACTTAATTTAGTTAAATTAGTAATTTCTAAAACTTTTTATTTTATATATAATAAAAAATTAATTATCACTCAGAGATAAAAGAGCGAGCAAATTTTTCTTTTCGAATCTTTGTGATTTAATAATCATTTTACCAATAAAATTCTTTTTATTAAATATCTTTTAAAAATATTTTCAAAAATTTTTTACACTTGTATTATTTTTTAATCATTTTGGGACTAATATTCTCAAATGCCCTTCCTGAAGAACTACAAATTGATATACAGTTCTTCATTATCAAAATTATATATTCAAAAAAATTCTTTTGGATTTGCATATTTATAATTTAGATGATTATAAATTTTTGTTATTACTGCTTTTTGGTAAAATATTTTCTAGAAAGATTTATTTATTAATAAAGTGGTGGAAAAAAACCACTAAACAAATACTTATTCTTGCATAGAAAAATAAGAAACCAATTTGGTTGAGAAAAAGTACTAATACTTCAGTCTTTTATTACAACCTTTAGAATTAGCTGAGAGAACTTTGGTGATCGAAGTTTTTGAATATTCAATTTATTTTTTTAATATTTTTAAAATTGAAGCTGACAAATTTGATATTTTCGTAAAAATTTTATTATATACAATTAAATTTACAATTGAAAAATATGTACATTAATATAATAGATTTTCTTTAACATATTTTTCTAAATCATTATAGAACCAAAGATATATTATATTATATTCTTTACAACATTTATTAACTATTTTAAAACAATAGTCTAATAATTTATTATATTCATCTGTTCATAAATCCAATAGTCCTAAAGAATCATTTTTACAAAATCTTTGATATTCTTTTCTCTAATTATAAAAATAACTACGAATATGAAATTCAGCACAAGATAAATGATTAATTAGTTTTTTATTTTTTGTATTATAATATATTTTTAAATTCTATGTAATAATTTCATTGCTTAATAAATGTTCTTTAAAAAGTTCATAGTTTGTAAAAATTTTAAAGCCTTCTGAAAGTTCAAGTATTTAAAGTTCTTTTGATTGATAAACTTTTTTGATTGTCAGTAAAGGAGATTTGTCATTTTCTTTATCAATATTTGACAAAGTTTCCTAATCTTTCCATGTATTATTATTGTATTAAATATCAATTTTTGTATGTTTTTTAAAAAAGTTAACAAGTTTCTTTAATAAAAATTTTATTTTGGAAGTTTTTAATAACTAGTATTAGAAATTTGAATTGTGAGATGTATTATTTTTATAATAAAATTTTAAAAATTAAATAAATATAAATATAACTTAATTTGTATAAATTTGAATAATTAAAAATATTGAATTCGAATTTAAGAAAATGCAAACAACAAATAAAAAAATTAGCAAAATCTATGTTAACTTCTGGTAATACTAAAAGCTACTAATTACTTTCAGAATAACTATAAGTAATTTAGAAAAAATTATCGAAAAAGTTTAAATGAATTCGAAAAAGAATATTATATCAAAAATTATCAAGAGACTGATAAAGATATTAAAATTTTTAATAAGAAATTTTTAGTTAATTTTGTAACTAAATTTTTGGTTGCTTCATATCGTGAGAGAATTTTACAAAAAATAGAAACAAATATTTTTGTAATTTAGAAATTTAGAATTTTATTAACTTGAAAATTCTTTATAGATATAAATAAATATTTATGATAAGAATTTAATTACTAATTAAAAAAATATTAAAAGAAGTTTTTTTGGTTTAAAGAATTATAAATAAAAATAAATTTGCAAAAAAAAGCAAAAAAAAATAAACAAGTAAAAATGAATTATTCTCAAATACAAGAAAATGAATCTCAGAATAAAATTTTAGAAGAATTATTTCTTCGGTATCATCAAATACTTAAATATTATAAATGTGATATCGAAGTTGCTGAAAATTCTGAATGTAAAAAGTAATTATTAAAAATATTCAAAAAAATATTTCTAAAGAATATTTAAGAATGATTGATAAATTTTATCAAAAAAAATATATATATTTCTTTATAATAATGATAAGGCTAATAATTTTAAAGATGAGGAGTGTGGCGACATAGAGTAGTGGTTAAGTTGTCACCCCCAAGTGGCAGGTCTAGAGTTCGATTCCTACTGAAGATGTTTTTCGAAAAATAGGTCTGTGTTCTGGTAACATTTATTTGACAATCGGTTGGGTATATTACCTATAATCTTGGTACTACTATCTCATTATGGAAGCTTTAGGGTGATCCAAATTCAAGGAACCAGAATATTTGAAACCTGTTTGGCAAGACTCAAGCTAGGAGTAGTGAAGATCTTTGATGATACTATGGAAAATCAGAACTAGAGACCAAAGAACCAGATGAACAACCCTTGGGCAAGAAGGGTCCACCAACCTGGCCGCCAGAATCGCACTGGAGGAAAAGGTCTGATGCTACAGAATTCGGAACCAAGAGAAGTAGAACCAGAAGGCACTTAGAGTCTAGGTACAACAACCCTTCTGGGCTAACTAGTTTGGTAGTTGAAGAGAGATCAGTATAAAGACTGGTTGAAAGTGGGTATTAGGATCAGAACGAACCTTGTAAGGGCAAGGAGTAGGTAATAGTAGCAGCCACAAAAGTACCAGTCCTCGGATTGGGTTTAAGTTACCGAAAAACCCAGGTGATACATGTGTGGGATATGGACCGCTCTGATAGGTTTACCTCGAGAATAAAGTAGTCCTAAGGGGCCTTAGTAGCAAGAATTCTTCTAGAGAAAGCATCTGACAGCGCTAAGTCGATCAGAGGGTTTAAATAGGGGATCCACAGCAGATCCTAGATATGGCAATTGGTGGGTAACTATAGATAATATAGCAGAGCTCTTAATTAGACAATGACTAAAGTTGTACATATGACCAATTATACTCTCGTTGATATAACAAAGTCAAGGGTGCCTATTCGGCATTCCGATAATTGAACTGAGAAGTTAATAAACCCCTAAGTGGTCACCTTAATATTTAAAAAAAATAATAATTTTAAAGATGAATTAGTAAAACTAGCATTGACAAAAGATTTTAAAAATTTATTAGAACTTATTATTAAAAATCTTGAAAGTGATTATTATTATAAAATTTTTGATTTATTAGATTAAATTAAATAATTTTGTTATTTATATTTTTATAAATAAATATTATACTTATTATATACGTATCATAAAATTAAAATCAAAAATTAAAAATGTCTCCTAATAATCATGCAGTTTGGTTATATAATATTATATAACAACTTACTACAATCAAATTTATAAATACGAACATTTTCGTATTAATATTAATACTAAAGAAATTTTTTTTTCTTATCCTTTCGCTAAGTTTTTATAGAAAATTTGTAACAATAATTCTAAAATTGTTGAAAATTTTCTCAAAAGCATAACTTGAAGTTTTTTCAAGATCAGAATTATAACTATGATTTTATTTTTTCAGAGTATTCTTGGTTTATTTATGATAATAAGGATTTTCAAGATCATTTTTTTGAAGAAGTCATAATTAAGTATTGGGATGAAGGCTACACTTTTGCCAATTTTTTGAGTAGTCAAGTAATTATAGTTGATATTAATACTGCTATGAATCTTAATACAAGTTTTGAAGATAATGGGCTTTTTTCTAGAATATTAAGTGGAAAACTAATTCTTTTCTTAGTAACTTTTTAGATATTGTATTTTTTAATTGTTTATTTAATATATATTAAATATTTTATGTAAAACAACATTATTAAGAGAAAGTTTTTTTATTATATTAATAAAATTTTTATAAATATCTTTATTTTGTTCCAAAATTAAATAAAAATTTTATAAAATAAATTGGTCTAAAAAATTTAAACAATTTGAACCAGCTTTAATATGGGAAAGACCACAAAATTTTAGTAACCGTAAACTAAAATTAAATGAATATCGAACTGTTTTAATTAACAATAAACTTTATTATGAAGTCAAAATACAAAAACTAGAAATTACTTTTCTTTGTAATATCAACAATTTTGATTTACTTAAAAAATTTACTTGGTGCTGTGGGAAAAATAGAAATACATTTTATATTCAAACAAAAACGAAAGAAAGATATATTCAATTTCATCAAATAGTTTATCCAAAATATAAGATGATTGATCATATTAATCACTGTGAACTCAATAACAGAAAATATAATCTTAGAGAAACAACTCATAGTCAAAATATGTTAAATCATAAATTATTTAAAAATAATACTAGTAGTTTTAATAGAATTTATTTTGTGAATTCTGAAAAAGCTTGGAGGTTTGAATGAAGATTAAAAAATAAAAAAAATATAAAAAATTTAGAATTATAAAAAATAGAACTAACAAAGAAGCAAAACAACTAGCAATAAAATTCAAATTAGAATATAATAAAATTACAGAA